AAAAAAAAAAAAAGAGCCAGTGAAACATTTGCCTACAACTGCCTCAAGTTTATCCTTCTTTATGGAAGAGCAGTATTCCATTGTGTATCAGTACGACATTTTCTTTATCCATTCATCTGTTGATGGACATATAGGCTATTTGAAGATTTAGTTATTATACGGATGCACCTTGAGACCATAATGTGAAGTGAAATAAATCAGACACACAAGTTTAAATATTACATGGTTTCTCTTATATGAGAAACCCAAAATATAAAGAGCAAAATAAAGGATACCTATTAAAAAGTGGAGAGATAGTTTTCAAATGGGAAGGGGAACAGAAATGGAAGGGGGAGGGAAGGAAGGGAAAAGGGATTTAAAAGCAACTGAAAGACGAAAATAGAAATAGAGCTTTTTCAAATGTGAAAGGGATCAAGAGTTGGAGGGAGCAGGGAGAAATGGGAGGAGAAGGGGGCACAAAAGAATAAAAGTATGTTTTGTACATGTACAAACTCCCCACAATAAATGGAATCATCAAGTACTGCAAAAATGCACTAGTAAAAATACCTCATAAATAAGAGTCCATGCCTTCTCCATGCTCATAGGGACAAATTATTCAATTGATCCTGTATGTATTTGAGTTGTTTTTCATTCTGTTTCTCTAGTGAGTCGTATTTGTTGATTTTCCAAAAGCCTGGATCCATAATGGGTTGGAAATGTCAAAAAAAATATATAGTTCATGATGCACTGCCCTAGGATGCCTCACTCACTCCTGAGTTTCTTCTTGGCTTTTACTCTGCTTCCGAGGTACAGTGAGCCACCCCATTTCCCCTTAAACTTGCACCCCTTTACTGTGAAAGGATGTGGAAAGGGAAGAACTGAAGAACTGGTTTGAGAGGGTGGTAGGAGAATGAGGATGTGTGGGAGGTAGGAATGGGTAAATAGAGAGGCTAGCTTTGACTCTGACTTTCTCAGAATATTCCTCTTCTTCAGTAGCTGGGTGACTGCCAGGTACTCCTTCAAAGATCAACCAAGAAAGTGGGAGTGAATCTTGGAAATCCATTTCCTTCCTTCTCCACTCATTCAGCTCTGACTGAGGGGACAAGACTGTGTTGTTGGATTCAACCTCCTCAACACCGCACAGATTAGAAAGACACCTCTGTTCCTCCCGCCAGACTTTGATGTCTACATTCGCTTCTTCCCCGCTTGGGCACTTTGCCCAGCACTTGAGAATTCTTCAGAGTACAGGACAGATGCTGTCTGCATGTCCCAGAGGTGCTTGGAAGTCTTTCTTGTGGGCAACTTCACTACACTGTCACAGGTACTATTGTGAAGCTATTTTTTTTTTAAAGTGTAACATCCATTCTATTAGTTCATTCCCTCTGAACGAAGATGACTTTTCTTCAGTCCATTAAAACCCAGGTCCTTACATGGGCTTTGGTGGGGATCGTGGGGCAGCACCAGCAGGTCTAAATCGGCATGGAGGTGTTCGGTCTTTCTGGGCTTCACGAGATCGATTCCTGACCACCTTGCTGTGAATGGCACAACTCACACAGTAATGCAGCTTCACATAGAACTTGGGAAGCACGTAAGAGTCGAAGACCCTCGCTTCGGAAACCTCCTTGACGGCAGCGGCCTCTGCTATGTTTTGAATGACGATCTTAATGGCCTTACCCTTGGGCACACACCGGGCACAGTTCGTGCAGTGAATTGGCTGCACGTGGCCATGGCCGTTTTTGACACAACCGTTGTTCCTTCTTTTTTTGGTCATCTTGGAAGGGAGGACCCAAAAGAGGACTGTGAAGCTATCTTTGGCCTTCTCTGTATCTGTGTAGTTGGGTTTAAAAAAATCATTTTCAGTTCTGCCACCTGCCTTGTAAGCGCAAGGTCCCGAGTTTGATCCCCAGTACCAAAAAAAAAAAAAAAAAAAAAAATCATTTTCAATAGCTTATTTATTCATTTACTTTAAAAAGGAAATATCATATGTTTAAACATTTAAACAGTACAAAGGATTGTATAATAATAAAAAATGATTCCTCCTGCTCTGCCTTCCCCATGGCCTGGTATGGTATCATCTTTTCCCCATAACACAAATAGTAGCAAGATATATGTATTATTTTGCTCCTTTTTATTTCATTAAACAAGATATCTTGGGTACATTTATTTCATGGCAGTATGAATGTGTCTTGATCATATTTTTAATGGCCACATGGTGTTCCATCACATATGAGATGGACATGCATGGACACACTTGATTAAACAATTCACCTGTTGTATATCTATATGTACAGAAACATCAACAAACTTTTGATACTACACAATTGCTAAATAAACACTTTATACACACCTATTTATACAGATGAGTCTGATGGAGGGAGGAGACTACTTGGTTTTCCAGGTATTCTTAGATTTAATATGTGATTTTCCAGATCTAAGATAGTGCATCATATTTGTCCTTGCCGTCTTTTCAGGTTTCAAGTTAGTGTAGCATTCCTGCCTCTAGAGGTATTTGGAATTTATTTCTTGCTTTCCTATCTTCATGTCTCATGCCCAAAATGTCTTTTTTCCTAACTTAGTAATGTCAAGCAGGACAAGAATAAGTTCATGGATCTGTGGTACTTTCTGTATGACTTCTCTTCATTTCTATCAAAACTCATTAACCTGTATGTTACTTTAAAAATTATGAATCTACTCAACTATCCTGTTGTATCATGATACTGTAGAATGAATTGTTAGCCTCTTTCCTCCACTGTCCCTCTGTCTTCATCCTTTTTATCAGAGAGAGGGCTGGAATAGTAAATAAATAAATATCTGATTGGTATTTGCTTAGGGCAGTAAGGAGAGTCACTTTCAACAGCTAGTCTGGTGTTTGTTGTAATTCAGTCAGACTCAGGTGATAAGAGAGAGCCAGATGTTCCCTCTCAGCCCAGTCACAGAATGTGTACAGGCATTTATGAGATCTTGCTTTAGGAGTGACATAGGAAAGGAAGGTCACTTGACAGGGTAGCCTGGACCTAGACTTTGGGGTATATATTAGCCCTTGTTCATGGGCCTAGATCAGTGGTTCCCAAGTGGGGGCAATTTTTCCCCTGGGGGGCATTTGCCATTGACCGGAGACATGTTTTGGTTGTTACAACTGGGGAATGGGAGTGTAGATGCCAAGGATGCTGCTAAACATTCTTTGGTGCACAAGGAAGCTCCTTTCCCCGACAAAAAATTATCCAGCCACTAGTGTCAATAGGTGGTACCTTGGTTCACAAACCTAGGCAATACAATGGCACCTCGGTTCATGAACTTAATTCTTTCCACGATTCTGGTTGCAAACTGAATTGGGTGAGAACTGAATCAAATTCAATGGTTAGGTTCAATATTGACCTTATGAGGAAATTTGATTCAGTTCTTGTCCAATTCGGTTTGTGACCAGAATCGTGGATAGAATTGTTCATGAACCGAGGTACCACACTGTATTGCCTAGATTGGAAAACTCTAGCCATGAATTTATCCCATTCTAAAACTTACATCACTGGACACAGAGGAACAAAAATATGCATCTGGTCAAACTGTGGGTCACAACCCTAAGGATTCAGATTTCACTGGTCTAGGGCAGTGGTGGAGAACCTACAGCATGCATGCTGCAGTAGGCTGTTTGTATCACTGAAAGCTCTAAAAGGTTTCCCATCACTGGCCTTGGGTTGAGTCTGGATGTGGTATTTTCATGATGCTCCCCTGGCAGGGGGTTGGCTTCATGTGTGGACAGGATTGAAAACTCCCTGTAGAATCTGGTTTGATAGAAGCCCCAGAAGAGCCTGACCTCCTCATCTTGTGAAGGTGGGTTACAGAAGGGATACTGGCTCCCTGAGGAGGCAGCAGCTGTGGGAAAATGCACAGGAGATGAAAAGAAGTTCCACTGGCCCCCTCCTCCCCCAGCAGTATAGAGGGTAAAATAGAAGTTCAAGCCTGGGGCTTCTGTAATTCAAAATCTTCAGCTCCCAGGGGCTTCAGCCTAGCTAAGGGACCAGATTACCTGACAAAGGGAAAGGTGCACTGTTACAATGGGTGTGACCTCTGTCAAGGCACAGGGCTCTTTTTTTTTTTTTTTTTTTTTGGTACTGGGGATCCAGAAGCAGGTGGCAGAACCATGGAGCTAAATCCCTGGCTCAAGGCACAGGTCTCTTTGAACCCAGAGGTGGCTGGATTTGGACTCACACTTGCCCTTTCCTCCGGGTACCTTTGGGCAGTGTGCAAACTGCACAACCTAATGCAGGAAACCTGACTGGAATTTGCCTTAGCTAAGATGTACCCAGAGCAGCAAAGGGGCACTGAACTGCCCTATGGGTTTACCAAAAACAAAACAGCTAGAGGCTTTCTCAAGTGAAAGAAACCAGATCCATCCTGGGGGCAGCCTGGTAACCCTATCCTGATGCTAGCATCCAGCCATGCCAGACCACAGGGTGGAGGCTCTGGGCTGGCCTTGACGCCTTTGGAGGGCCTGAGAACAGCCCAGTAAATGGGGAGATCTGGCTGCAGGAAACTCCATCCTTGAGGGTGTGGGTGAGACAGGGAACTTTCTGTACCTTGTGCTTTCCCATCTGACCTGGAGGGAGAATCCCCTCCTAACCGCAATAGAGCAGGCAAGCACCCAGCCTAGACCTCGATCCATTCTTTTGCAAAAAAGAAACAAAAAACGTTGGGTACAGGCATAACTGCACACCTAGGTTGCAGTCTCCACTCTGCCACAACAGGGTGAACCTGAACAAGTTTCTAAGCCTCAGCGTCTTCTGGCTAAAGGGGGCATAATAATAGAGAACTTGGGGGTGGTCACAAGGGTCAAATCAGAGAATGTGGCCGTGGTATCCAGCCGCAGCGGGCCACTCTAGACCTCTAGGTTACCGCTTCTCTTTCTGGGGACTTATAAAGTTTTCTCCACAGAAGGCAGCGTTCTAGGAACCCAGGATCTGCGAGGCGGTAAGAGGGAGAGCGAATGGAGCAAAGAAAGCCACTGAAGGATATTTTGGGTCACTGGGGCAAGTCCTTGGCACTGTGTGGTCCTGAGAGGACAGCCTCATTTCCAGAAGAAGTGCTGACACAAAAGGAGGGGGTAGATGGGTGGGTCGGAGCCCCAAACTGCGCTGTGTTCCGGGGAGGCGGAGGAAGGGGGCAGGCTCCGAGCCGGAGGGAAGGAGGGAAAGGCGAGAGGAGGAGTTTTCCAGCTCGGCCTTTACCCGCTCCTAGCGCAGCCCCTGGGTCTCCTCGGTCTCCTCTCGCCCCCTGGAAGCGCGCTGCGCTGCCCAGTGTAGCGAAGCGCAGCTCGCCATGGGGAGCCCGGTACTCCGGCCCGTGCTGCTGCTGCTGCCCTTGCTGCTGTTGCTGTTGGTGCTGCTGCACGTCCCGCCGAGCAGCGGCTTCCCAGGTAGGAGCCAGAAGTGGGGCTTTCTACCCAGTTGGGCTACAGGTACCCCCGGAGCCGCCCCTGGGATCTTTTGCTTGGGATAGAGGGAGGTGCTGGGGGCGCCCTTTGTCTACTCCAAACTCGTCTTTCCCAATCCCAGGGAGTCGGGTTCGAGCCTGGGCACGCTGAAGCGAGAGCGGATCGTCCCATCAGCACTCTTGGGGCACCTTCACGGCGCCCGGAATCCAAGCCCAAGCACCCTCTCTGTGTCCTAGGTTTCCAGGTTCAAGGTTCAAATCAAGCCTCCATTGGCATCGGAGGTTACAAAGATAGTTTGGCTGCAAGCTAGTTTGCTACTCTTTCGCCACCGGCGTTTTACCTCTCACGGTTGCTAACAGCCGGGACTCGGGACCTGGCGACTTGTCCAGAAAGTACTCCCTACCCCTCCCGCACGAAGTCCCCCCCGCCCCACAGGCGTCGCAGGCCGGAGTCACAGCAGAGGGACGCTTGTGGATGGCATGGGCGGAGCCTCCGCCGCCTTCTCTACCCCCCCCTGCTGGGGATTCTGAGAAAGCCTGTGTCTCTGAATGAGAAGCGCCAGCTGAGTGTTGACCTGTGGCCAGCACTTGGTTAGCCCGAGGGAAAGAAGGATCCGCGTGAGGCTCTGCTGAACAGGGGGTATGAGTTCTTGTTGCTGGAGAGCGTGGTCTCCAGCATCCAAGGGGACCCTGGAGTTTATCGGGGCTCTCTCTTATGGATGTGGGCAAAATTATCATTTCAAATGTCCTTTGGAAAGCTGTAACTAAATTCCTCACATTGATTGAAGTCTTCAAGGGGAGCAGGGCAACGGCCTTGGAACGAAGAGGAAATCCACGCAGGGCTTTAATTTAGTGTTTAATGAAAAAGTGGGTGATGGAAACTATAGAATGTGCAAATATTTGGCTTTGCATTCAGCAACACTGCGGGCAGTTTAACTCTGGGGTCTGAGAAAGAACGTCCCATATTCTGAGGGGTTCCCAGGTAGCCTGCTTGGGAGATGGAGGGATGGCTGCTGGGAATTCTCCGTACATTTCCCAAATGAATGAATGAATGAAACAAATGTATAAATTAATAAACAGGAACATTTGTGCTTTGAGCTGATGCTTGCAAGTTTTCAGCTGTTTTGTAGTAACTGACTGGGGGCAAAGGGAAAGGGAGACTGTTCTCCAGGTAACTGCCATGCCTGTTGGGTGTTAGTGCCCAGGTTCCCATGCCCTTTGGCAAGAGTCGGGTTAAAGTGAACCTAGAGAGGAAGAGGAAGTAATTTAGCAGACAAGGAGTAGTTTTAAGGGATGAGGAAAGCAGATGAGAATCTAGAGGTAGCCTTTGTGGCTGATTTGGAAGGTGCTTGTGAGCCACCTCAGAATCACAACTTGTAGTTTAAGCTTTCTGAGGAAGGGGGCCACTTCTTTTCCATCTGACCTCCCTTACCTGCCTGTCCTTTTAACTCCTACCCCTGTATAGTATAGCTTG